GCACAAAATGTTAGTAGTAATGGCAGTCTTTTGTTTTTGTTCTAGCATTGTGCTACACTGAGGATAATAACAAAAATAAAATGTACTCCTTCCCTTGTATGTGTTGTATACTACAATAGATTCTGGGACATTGTTCTAGGAACAAATGACCACCAATGTAAAAATTCCAAAAGCTATTTGACCCTGTATATAATTCATTTCTTAAAAAAGTTAACAATCACACATATAAATAATAGGATGAACTTTGCACCAAAAGCAATGATTGGCAACAGAATTTTCTGAAATTTTGGAAATGTTCTAAATTTGTACAGTCCAATATGAAAGCTGCTAGCCTTGTGACACAGTCAGGCACTTAACGTGGCTAGCTGACTGAGGAATACATTTTAAATTTTATTTTTAATTAAATAGCTACATGAATCTAGTAGTTATTACTCTGGACAGTGCAACTCTAGAGTATACATAATGACAGGGAAATAGAAGATTTTTTAAATTCTAAGAGGTCTGGCTCTGTCCCTAAGTGATATGACCTTGAACAAGTCACTGACCCTTTCAAGTTCAGTGGCTTCATCCATAAGATGAGTACATGGAATAGACCATTATTGTCCCCTACAACAATACTCCTTGTCTCTATATAAGAAAATTACTTGTTATTATATTACCTCTTCCATGTTCTTTCTCTATTAAAAATATTTACTGATGAGAGTGATAATGTGTGGCTTCTAGACAAATAAACAAAACAGCTTCTTGCAAGCTCTTGTAGGGTTTATACTCCAGAATTTAAAACAAACATATATGCAAAGATTTTTCTCATCTCTGCTCCTTCCTTCCTTCCTTCTTTTCTTTTCTTTTCTTTTTTCTTTCTTTCTTTCTTTCTTTCTTTCTTTCTTTCTTTCTTTCTTTCTTTCTTTCTGAGTATTTCATTTATTCTTTTAAATTGACTTTGGTTCCTTTGAACGATAGCTAGTTTGGTCTAGTATTTGCCTAACTCCCTCATTAGATTGTGAGTTTGGGGAGGCAAATATTTTGTTTAGAACTGGAATTGAGTAAAAAAAAAAAAAAGGAATAGATTGAGCTTGTGTGTGGCTTACCCAATTATACATTAAACAGGACTCTCTCCCCAAGGACATTCCAAAAACCCACAAAGCTAACCATGCATTTGAAACATCATTTTATTTTTCTAATTCATCCTCCTTGCTGAAAATCTTTAGGAAATGTAAATAGATTAAAAGACAAAAATTTTAACCTTTTTAAAACCATCCTGTACATTTAAATTTGGATGAATCTATTTTGATAGTTTGTAAAGCCAAAAAATATTTTAGATACTGAAATAAAAACATAGCCCTAGTAATTTAATGCTAAAATTGACCACTTTTAGCAATATCCTACAGAAAAGCAACATATTAATCTGCTATAGAAATAATTACTGTAATATGCCACCTAATTTCATAATAATTATTAAAAGTTATCATAACTACAAAATATAGTGCTACTTTTCCTTTGTAACAAAGAGTTAGTTATATATTACTTCTAGAAATCTTCACTTTCTTCCCTAAAATGCCAGAAATTCTTCTGTAAAATAAACACATCTTGTCAAGACTCTTTGGAACTAGTGTAATTACCACAGGCAATCCCTGTGTAAGATCAAAGAAGCAAAACAATAATAGGCAACGTGTGACCTCGACCATGTCACCAGAGACCAATTTTTCAACAGGGAGAAGAGTCAATAATCCAGAACAGAAAACATTAAATAACAAGAAATGCTTCCAAAGTGTGGCTCACCACATCCATCAGGGCTGCCACACTCAGTTCAGAGCCTCTGTGGTTTGAGAACAAACTTCTGGGGATTTATCACAACAATCATTGAAATCTACATAAAACACCAGAGGCAAAAACCAATTTTCCAAACAGAACAGGATTTCAAAAGAAACTATCATAATAATCTTCCAAATTTCATCTGATACATTAAACAGTGAGAAGGCCATAGATAACTAATTTTATTTGTATACACTCATCTAATTTATTTACTTCTCTCCATTTAATTTTCCTAAGAAGTCATTTGAAAATGGGCTATGAACACCTACCAGATAACATAATTCATAACAACATATTAAAGGTTCTTCAGGGTTTTTTTGGGGGGGGGGGGGGGGGGGGGAGTTTGTTTATGGTAACTATGGGTGACTAAATCCAGAAACAGAGTTTCTTTTGTAACACATTTATATGACTAAACACCTTAAGGGTTCAAAGAGAGGTAAAGAAATCCCCATTCACAATCATGATAGTAAAATGGATATATACCTAAATTGACTTTTTTAAAAAACATTGCAAGTCAAATTATACGTTGGAATCATCAAATTTTGTTTGTTTTCTTAGATACTCCTACCAAATGGCCAGCTCCTTTCAAAATCAGATGGGAATTTGGGGCTGCACAAATGTATCTGAACACATTCTGAAGTTATTTAGAGAATAGCGAAAGACAGACTTAGCTTAAATGAACAAGCACTGTATATCCAAAGGAACTGTGAGCATTCTGGTCCTACACAAACTTGTTAACGCCTGCTCCCTTCATCTTTCCACTGTGTCATCTGCCCCTGTCTTCCCATCTTCTTATCTTATTAACATTGCTAATTGTATTTGTCAGTTTTGCCACAATTTCAATGCTACTTAAACAGCTGTGGGTTTTCTCTAGGCAATTATCAGTCAGTTCACTTAGGTTTCTAAATTAGTTGTTGAAAGGTGCTTTAACCTTGAGAAGATAGAGTACTTTGCATGCTAAGCCTTATATTTATGTATATGTTCCTTTAACATAAGTAAATCATTAAAAATGACTTTAAAATTGCACACAATTAATAAATGCATTAAGTATAATTGTGATGCTTAACATACATTAGAAGGAAAATGCCTAACAAAGTGTATTATACACTCCCCCACAATTAATTTTTTCCTTCTCATCAGAGTATTATAATACATGCTTTCTTTCTAGATAAAGAGGGGTGCTCAAAAAGTTTATGGAAATGAGTATTCTGAAAAAAATTCTGTATGGATTTAAAAAATTTTCACACTGAAATAAAATTTTCTTTTAATGCCATTTCCCATGAATTTTTCAAAGTGCCCTTATACGCATATGTACATATATATAATTACAAATTGAAATATCAAAATCCTGCTAAATTCCTCTGACAGTCCCCTTTCACTACCTATCTGCCAAGTGGCGAACACCTTTCACAGGTACCCACAATCACATAACTTAAGTGGTCTCTTGAGGTCACGGGCTGTGGAAAGAAGCACCAAGCAGGTTCTTCCCTCTTCCATTTCTCTTCAAAGAGAAATTCCTTATTATATGGCTTTTCTTATTCACTATTCTTGACTCTGACATTGGTTTCCTTCTTACTCCTACAAGTGGTACAAGAAATGCATTCAGGAAGAAACACCGGGTCTAAGATTATTCATCAACTGATACCCCTATCAACTATCAACTCGGAAACAAAAGAAACATTACACGTCATGTGCCGTTTGTTACCTTGCTAAGTTAAAATAAGCTCAAAGATGACTTTTTACTGTTAGTAAGTCGAAGTATTTTAAAAGATTTACTAATAATATCCTGCTTGTGGGCCCAAAGCTTGTAGAATTTTAAAATTCTTGTCAGTTCAGTGCTTACCCTTCCCTCTCTCTACCCTCTTCCACTTGGAGCTCTCGTTAAAGATAAAGGTGATATTTCAACAGTGCAGAATTCTTCAATGAGAAAAAAAATTAAAATGATAAATATTTTGGAAATCAAAATACAGTTCAAACCCCAACTGTTCTTTCAGGCCTGTACTCTTACAGTAGTGATCAACGTTTGGTGAGGATTCTCCTTCCACGAGACAAAAGCAAGCGTTCCTTAGATAAATCAGGAGTTTTTACCACGAGACTCATAAAACCTTTTCACAACACAGATTTTCAAGGGAATCCTTTAAGGTTTTAGGAGGCTGCTCCTTTTACTAAGTAACAAAATACACCCCATGGTGTCCCACTGACCCCACTCAGCTGTCCTTTGACCTCTTCAATTGTTGAAGCCTAACTCCACTCCAAGGCCCACAGAATTTGCCTCCCATATCAAAAAGGCTAATGTTGCTTCCTCCTAGCACCTGGTGAAACAAAATGCAACAGTTCTCTCTCTTTCTTCTGCCTCCTCTGCTCCCTCTCTGACCATTTTCCAGATGTTCCAGGCCCAAATGTTAAGCCAATACTGGGCTTCAGTATCTGCGTGGTCACCATGAAGGCACAAACAAGGACCAGGCTGAAGTGGCAATGACCCTCTTGTTCTTTTTGGCCTCAAAAGGATACAGCAGGTCATAAAAGAGGAAAAGATCTTTGGCCTCCCTTGGAAATGCCAGGCTATTTAAGCACATTGTAACTTCCAAAAGGGGAGAGACAGTCTTGGGTTATGCCCCCTCTCTGATAGACAAGAGTTACTGAAAACAGTAGCCCTAAATCCTCAGTTCTAGGCAAACTTGTTTTCTTCTACATATGGGAAAGAAAAAAAAAAAGGTGCTATCACTTTTTACATTTTCTAAAACAAATGCCAAAAATAGAAAAAGTTTTTATAACTTTTTTTCAAGATGGTGTTATATGACAACTTTTGAACAGATGTCACTAGAATTGGTTTAGGTTTTTCTGCAGAAGCTGATAATTTAGAAGTCTTTCCCATTAGATAGCTTGAAAGGTAAAAATGACAATCAACAAAGAGGAAGAAAAACTGAATTCTTATTTCCTTAATTTTAGGTACACAGAAAATACAGAGGCTAAATGGGGGGAAAAACTCACTGCTGAGTAGGTTTGTTGAGGAGGGGGATAGAAAAGATGAAGGAGAAGAGGAAGGGGTAGGAGAATTCATAGAAAATATCTGCTTAATCAGTTTAAGGATGAACTATAGTAGCTTTATTTACATTGTAAATATAACTTATTCAAACAAATTTGATCTTGAAAAATTTTAGAAGGGGGCATATAGAAGTGTACAATACCTTGGTTTATTTATTAACATTTTTGAATCATGCTCATGGTTAAGTTGGGCAGTCAACACTTCAGGAAGCCTGCTGCCTAGATTTTAATTGTTTAAAGATTTTCTGTACCTGTGAAAAAACAAGAAATAAAAAATAAAAAACATAAGTTAATTCTCAGGTACATCATATTCTGAAATATAATAATTAAATATTTATAATTCTACAAAAATCATAATTAGAAACAAATGACCAAAGTCTTACTACACAATTCCATATACATCATAACTAAAAAATTCATAGGTATTCTTCCTTCCTAAATACTCCAAAAATAATCAATCCTAATTATATATACCCCCAAAATAACTTATGCTGATCTTAAGATATACCCTACCAAATGTAAACAGAATAAATCTGTCAAGCCTACATTTTTGACAGGTGTTACCATAATGTTAAAACCCCACAAACTATTTTTATTTTTAGGAATTGAGTTAGTGAAAGGTAATTTACCTAATGAGTTTAAGAGTTTTGTAATTCATGATACTTACCAAAATCTATCTACTCAGAGAAATATAAAAATGTAAAACATAATATTAATTTAAACTATTTTTCTACTTTTTGAAATTAATGCTTTAATAATTTCCAAGAAAAAGTCTACAAAAAAAGAGTTTCTTATTCATTTGAATAGTGTCTTCCTAGAAGATATTAAACTAAATAATAATAATTGCATATAATTATAGTATCCATATTATTCTCTCTTCTACATAGGTTATGGTTAACAGAAACCTTTACATGGAATAATGGGAAACATAGTTATAAGCACAAAGGGAAATAAAAACTGTCAAGGATTTTTATGCAAAATTTGGAAGTGTTCCTAGTTTTTTGTTACTGGGTCTAAATAGAAAACAAAAGAGGATTTTCTTTACAATGTAGTGATTTTGATCTGAATATTTAAGGCACTAAAATATTTGAAGTAATATTAACTTATGTTTTCTTTAAAAATTGTTTTCATTTTACTTTCTTTTTTACCAACTTGGTTGAAAGAGAAAAAAAATTTAGATTTTAGAATAAAAATATTTACCTTACCTCTCACAGTCAGAAGAATGTCTTCAAAGCAAAAGAATCATTAAAAATGCAACAGCCAGATTTTCAAACTCACATATTACCCCTTGCCCCCATACACACAGACATCTTTTTCTAAGTCAGGAGCCTTGCTACCTACATCCAAACCCAGGATTACCCCATATGGTCAACAAGGTCAAACTGCATTACTGCCAATGAAACTATATGACTCCACGAGGACCTTAATGATTTTGAAAAAGGGCAGTAATCCAATTCCAATAGCTTCAGAGTCTAAAATTGCTAATTTTTGGCCACGTGCTGCACACTTCACCTGCTAGTAATGACATTTTTGTATTTTCTTCTAATTACACTCAAAGCTAAGACCTTTGGCCCTGGGCCACAGACCTCTATTCAGGCTGCACACATTCTCTTAAACGACCTGATCCTTTGTTGTCACTCTTACTCTTTCATCCATTATTTACACCCATAGAGAAGGAAGATACTCTACCATTTGTATAGTTTAAAGCTTCTAATCATCTTAATTTCTTTGCCTTTCAACCTGTGGGTCTTTCTCATTGACGAATGCCAAAAAGTTTGACAAAATCATTTTTTTCCAATCACATGCCCTCCTCTACCCCCCCACTCAATTCTCCTTTCTTGGTCCTTAGCCAACCTCCTTCCTGTTCCTTGTGTTACACTGTAGGAACTTTGCATCAGCCAAAATTAGAAAATTGTGACTTATGACAACAAAATGAACACAAATCTAAATACAATACAAATATCCAATTTGTTCTGACAGATCAGTAGCAAGTATTTTTCTTTTTTTGATCAAAGAGTCCCTTAAATGAAGTTGGAAGTTACTTAAAATAACTTAAAATCTACCCCCAGCCACCCTAAAGCGTGAGCAAAGAATTTTCAGGATTCACTTGCAAAAAAGCCAAAAAGTATTCAGTAAATATTAGAGATGTTACTGACACAACCAAAACTTTTCCAATACTGTAAAAAATCTATAATTGCCCAGCTGATTGTAGAAAAGAAAAATTAGAGAAAATAAAATAGAAAAATGTAAAGGTTAGATTTTAAATTTAATCTTTAAAACACTAATTTTCTAAGCAGCAAAATGCTAATCTAAAACATTCTACATCATTAGCCTTATTTCCTGAAACTTTTCTCAGATATAATTTTGCTAACATCTAAACACATTTTGCAAATCCAAAGCACAGAGTTGTTTACCATGATGCAAATGTCTCCCTCAGATCAGGATAGCCACCAAAGGAGTCTGATTTCCAGGACGTTTATAAAATGACATCTGATCCATCTTTGTTCTTGCTTCCTCTATTGCTCAGCTTACTCTTGATTTCTAACAGTGTTTCCTCATTGTCTGTCCCCTCTGCAGACCCTGCAACCCCTTGTCTTTTCTTATTTTCACCATTTGCTTCAACCAGCAGTTCACTGGAGACCCATCCATCTTGTAATGCCTAAAGTGACAGATGCTCTCAGGAACGACCACACTGCTGAGTGAACAAAAGATAACATCACCTCCAGGAACTCCAGAGAGAAATACAACTGCAACCTTAAGACAGGGGCTGACTTGACAGACATTGGACCATAAACCTCTTCTAAGTGAAAAAGAAAACAATTGCCACACACACAAAAAAAATCTGACACAATCAAAGGCAGAAAAGAGTGATTATTTGTGGATTGCCTTTTCACTCTGTAACTCACTTTCCCCCCTCCCCATGCTTTTATATTGGGGCAATTCACTCGCCAAGAGGCAAGAGAGGTTCTTGGGAAAAAAGCCTTTCTCAAGTTATTTTCTCTTATTCAACAATATTCAAAGTGAAATTCATTCACATGTGTGTTTCAGGAAATGTAAGACTACCATGCAACAATCGCAAGCCTGACCTTTCTTGTTTGCATAAAGCAATATCTCAGAAATGCTGACTCAGTTTTACTGCTGTGAAAGGCGCATGCATGCTTTGCAAATTAAAAACACATTAGAAATTAAAAAGCAACGTGACACAATGTCAACAGTATGTGTAGCTCATAAAAAAAAGCTCACCATTCATTCATCAGACAACCTCCAACTTGGGTTAAAGAGACAGTTAACAAGAGGATTCTGGGAAGGGCTGCAGATCTCCTATCTAACAAAGAAAAGGCCTTATTAACATCTCCCAGCAACAAACTAATGACAGGGAAGTTCTGCCTGATGTCATCCAGGATTTTGGGCTTTTGTTGTTGTTGCTAAAGCATCTTATTTAAAATCATCATACAGTAATAAGAAATAAACATACCTCTCCCTTTCAGATAAATACAGTAAAAGGAAAATTTTTAAGCATATATAAAAACAAAAACCAACCTAGAGGTCAATTAAGAACATGGTGTGATCAATGTCAATTATGGAGATTAACAACCCATTTTCGTAGTAGGCATCAAGCAATACAGAGAAAAACCTCTTGCAGCTAGATAAATTATCATTCTCTAAAAGGGCAAAAGGTGGAAATGTTTACGCAACATCCAAAGAGCCAAAACACTCAAGAAAAGTTCCATCAACAATATTTCCAAGAAAAATGTAAGCAATTAAAATAGCATTTCATTGGTAAAAACATTAATTAAACCATTTTACACACAAAGCCTTTAAATCATGCTATAATCATTTTTCTTTAGATTCTATAATGACTTTTTTCATTCCCATTTTCTAAAGACATACATTTTTATATCTTGCATTAGAATTATTTGGGCAGAGGAGGTTAAAAATTTTTTTCAATTTGATACATCAATTAGTCCTATTTAAACATTTTTATGTCTTCCTTATTTCCTCATACATTTCAGTGTAATTCAATAAAAACATACTGTAATATTTCACAGTCTAGCACTTTGTGTTTAGTCTTTTTAAGGCTAACAAAAATTCATGCAAAACAATTAAATGAATATGTATAATTATATATCACAATGAGAAATGATTAAATAATTATAAAATGCTTATTTTTAAAACAAAAGACTTACTCTAATATGGACGTGATTTTAACTAGAAGACTGTTTAAAACGCATTAGTCTAAGCAATATTGCAAAAAGTACTGATCCCAAAGTATCACATCCTTCAACACTCTCAAAGTTTGGTATCTGTACTCAAAGAGAGATGTGACCTTGAAATGACAGCTCCACTTCAGAAAGCTCAAAAAAAGACCCAATTAAATTATCTACTTTTTAAACACAATGGGATCAATATGCATGCAGGAAAAGTACACCCTTGTGGAAAGTTCTCATTGCCTGATTGATCAAAAACAAAACAAAACTTTTCTTTTTTAAGGGCCCCTTCCAGATCACAGTCAGTGCCAGAAATCCACACAGGGAAAAAATCCATCAAAATGAAACCCTAAAAGGGTTTACCCTTCACCATCCTATTTGCACTTCAAAACCCTGTTAGTCCTTCAGTTAAACCCCAGGGCTGAACCATTTCAATAAGAAGAGAGGTGACCAGTGGTGATTTATCTCCCATTTGGCTTCTGGACAGAGCTGTAATGTCTAGGAAGCTTCCCTTCCCTGATTCAAACCCTCCCCCAAGTCTCCACTTTCATTTGTGCAGCCTTGGATCTGCAGTACCTTTCAAATAACTCACAGGCCCCTTCCAATCAGATGCAAGAACAATCTGTAACTCAAGATTTGGGTACATTTTCTTGGCAATGATTTCACAAAAAGGAATGCTGCTGAGTAATCAGAGCATTGCAAATACCAGGTTAAACTGCAGGTTCTCTTTGCTGTGAGTTAGGAAGAATCTTCCTCAACTGTGGAGTCTCCTCATATATGTTCACTGTAGTCAGAACTTCTTTCCCATTTATACTTTGATATCCTTTGTTTTGGGCCACATTAGCCAACTCTGCAGTTTGATGTTCATCTAAGTTTAAATCCTTGCACTGTAAAACATTTTAACAAATCCAAAAACGTGGAAATTTCACAGGTCACAGACTCCTGGGTCAAAAAGACCTAAAACCAGTTATCAGACCACTGTGACTCGACTGATCTTTTCACCCCCTGCTAGCAAATATGTACTATTTGCCAGCAAACATAAT